ATACGATAGAATGAATGTAAAACTAATGTTCTCCTATGTAAACTATCACATAATTCACAATAAAACATTTAAGGAAAAAAAATTGTATGCTTTTAAACATAGTACTGATGAGGAATCTCAGAATCTAGAAGGTCAAAACTAACAGGGTCTTTAAAGATCACTAAGTCTCACCTACCTAATTATTGTAGTTATGTTGTTCTTCAAGATTCTTAGCAATTGTCAACTTTCTTCATTAAACTGCATTCATCCAGTAGTATTGACTATGATGTACTCTAGGGATTCAAGTACTCTAGGAATTAGTCTTATCTGATTCTGTTTATCACTTTATTAGATATTGGTAAGCTCTGCATAGATCACAGTCACATCTTGCCATTCTATCAGGCAACATTTTCTGTTTAAATTCTGGAATTATTCCAAGATATGTGGCTGATCATATGGAATAAACATACCACAAAATGAGTAGTTTTGCCACAGGCTAAGTTCTAGGACATGTTTGCGGACACTTGAATGCTTTACAATTGTACCACAATTTGGAAAAATGAGTCAGCTGATTGTGAAGTTCCTGAAGCTGTTTTTGGAAAAACAAATGTTTGAGGTGATGAAGGTGAAATCTCTTAGCCATGAATGTCCACACTGGAGAAGACTTGGAAAGAGTTGGGTATGACTGAAATCTTTAAGTACATTTCCTTAACTCTAAGTTGTGATTGATTTGATACTGATTTAAGCTATACACCAATTTAAATAATAATGTTTCAGGAGAAAAATAACCAGTCTAGTATTCTATGCATTCCACCACACTGCCTTTGACTCCAGGTTAGGAAGTAGCTAACAGTATGTTTGTGTGTGCATGCCCTTTGTTTTCAATGCCCCATGTTCCTTCTTTTCCACCAGGAATACACCATTGACATCATCTTCTACCAGACCTGGTATGATGAACGCCTCCGCTACAATGGCACCTTTGAGACCCTTGTTCTAAACAGCAAAGTGGTGAGCCAGTTATGGATCCCAGACACCTTTTTTAGGAATTCCAAGAGGACCCAAGAACACACAATCACCATGCCAAACCAGATGGTTCGCATCCACAGAGATGGCAAGGTGTTGTACACAATTAGGTATGTGAAGCCACTGGGTTGTGACCCCTCCTCCCTCTCTGGGAATGTTAGCCAAGTATCCATGGACAGATACGCATAAGGACCCTTCCAGCTTTTCTAGACCATCTCATATACAGATACAGCTATTGAGACTTTAAAATACAAAGGTACTTACTTAAGGCCACACACCAAATCCGTGACAGAGTTGAATATAGTACCCAGTTGCTTGGCTGCTTGTCCAGTGCTTTACCCACATGAATGTACTATTTTGACTGCACTGTTTAGACTGCACTGTTTATATCCGATGCAGGCACTGGATATAAAGGCATGTCCATGGTGGTGGAATTATCTAGGCACAGCAATTGGAAAGTTACCTAAGAACAGACTGAATTTTTGAGTGCCTGGCAGGGGAAGGTTGTGTGTTACTGGTGGAGAGTTGGAGAGTGTTGGCAGGTCCTATAAACTGGGCTGAACAAGAAACAAAAGCCCATTTCAGTTGTTCCATATATTTCTCTGATGGTGAAAACTACAGTAGCCAGATACTGCCATGCTGTCCTTCATCTCTTTTTGTCTCCTTTAACTTCTTTGTCTTGAATTCTACCGTTGCCACTCATTGGTGATGGTCCCCAAAGCTAATTTGAATGAACAACTACATATTCAGGGCCAGCCTAATGAGGGTCCTCTCTCCCTTCCAGGATGACCATTGATGCTGGATGTACACTCCATATGCACAGATTTCCAATGGATTCTCACTCTTGTCCTCTGTCTTTCTCTAGCTGTGAGTACCTTCTTAGGTTTCTGAGGTCCCAGAGTCATGCTGGGCTCTTCTTTCTGTCGTCATCCCCCTTACATTTTTCTAACTATGTTTTCCTCTCTAAGATGGTGCTGAGATTGCTCAGGGCCTCCCCTTCCATCCTCATCTCATTGGCTGCTAATAATATTATGTTGCTCAACCTGGACATTCTGTTGGGGTTCTCCTCCCTTCTTATCCACATCAAGTCAGTCAACTGACTCTGAATTGTATCTCAAATATGTCTGCTTTTCTTCATTTTCACTGTCACTACCTTGGTTTAAGCTTTTTCGTCTTTCAATTGGACTTTTGTAACATGTTCACTTTGACACTGAACATGGCAAGACTAAATTCATTGTTGTGTTAGTTCTTTCTGTGTTTCCATTGGCCTGATTGAGGGGCATCATAATCTACCATTTGTCTAAGCCTAGAATTTTACACCTCACATTTCCCTCACTTGCCATATCTAATTAAGCAACACATCTTGTTTGTATTCCCTCTTTAATCTTTGTTAAGCCTGTCTACTTCTTTGTATTCTAACTACCATAGTTTTGATTCCTGCCTTCATCCGTTTTATTTTGCCTGGAGTACAACACTGCCCTCTTGTAACTGGTATCATTGCTGCCAGACTGACTTTACGTAATGATCAGTTACCTAGCTGAAGTGCCATCTAGAACTAGATCACTTCTTGTTTTCAAATCTTTCCTTAACTCTAATAGAAAAAAATGCAAATTTCATAGAATAACCCTCAATGTAATAACCCCTGCTGTACACTCCTGCACACCTGATCCCCTGTGAATTTTTGGTATTTCTACAATACACCAGACATTTGCACCTTTCTGTACACAGAACACCCCCTTTGTGCCTTCACCTCATCTACATGGGAAAAACATTTTCAAGTTGCAAGGCTAAACTGGGATATCATGTACTCCACAGAATCTTTTCTGTTCTTTCCTTCATTGTCAGAGCTACACAAACAATTACAGTCTTTATACTCACTGCCCTACCCACGAAATATGAATATTTGAAGTCAGGTCTCAAGCTTTGTTTTTCTCTGTATTTCCAGCCCTGGGACTGGTACTGAGAAATGCACAATAAATGTTCTTAGTGAATGGACTCCAACAATGAGGTAAGAGAGGCCAAGTCCCATAGCTGGTGAAATCAGAGTTAGGATTTGAAGGCATTGCTCAGGCTGACTCCATACTGGTAGAGATCTAAGAGGGGCTTTCTACTCTTACATGGTCTTCCTATATTTTTTACAGTCTCCTATCCTATGAATGAGATGATCTACAAGTGGGAAGATTTCAAGCTAGAAATCAATAATGACAACTCCTGGAAGCTCTTTCAGTTTGAATTTAAAGGAATGAGCAACAAGACTGAAACTCTTTCAACCCCAGCTGGTAAGTGTGCCATGTACACGAGGGTTAGGCTGAGGCCAAGGGTAGGGATGGCTGGAGGTGGCTATTCACACAAATGCTATGCTTAGGACATGGCTCTTGTCTTGTAAATGCTAAGCATTTACAACTGTTTGCAGAGGAAACTGAGGCTTTGTAGCTATGTCTGAGCCCCTGAAAGGGTAGGTAAGTAGATAAAGATGTGTTACTGCCAGAATTTTTTTTAAATTTGGCATGCAGATCCTTCCATTTTGAGATCTTTACTGAAGCATGACCAACTTGAATGACTTTGATGACTGGAGCTAGTGTGAGTCCTCGATATCCATAACCAATCTAAGTTGGTTGAGTGTGAAGAGAAGTCTTCCTAATTGTAAAGGGAAGTCAGAGTTATAATGTGAACCTAGTGAAGTATGAGTTATTCTGGAGAACATTTCTAGGATGGAAATTTCCAATGGCTGGTGGCTGAATCACATTGACATATGCCTTAAAGAAGCAGCTCTGAGGTTCTGATACTTGACAACATAGATTGCTGTCAAAGGCTTCATGGGAAATCATGAAGACAACTGGTTTTCGGACCTTATCCCCAACAAGGGCTTAAAGGGACGATCCAGGATCTCTTAAACTTCAGATCCAATGAGTTATGAGCATCTTTGTTTGTGTTCTTAGGTGATCTGAATGAGGAGCCAAGGGACCTCACCAGAGTTGCTCCTGAGCATCTTTGGAAACCATCTTCACATATATTGATCAAGTTCAGGGCAGTGAAGGCACTGTCTTCATCATTTCCAGACTATAGATGGATCCAGTCACTGAACCAGCCATTTGCCATGGGATATATCTTACTTTGTTTCCTTGTGGATAGGCAGAAATATGCTTTTGATTCATTTATAGGGTTAGTCGTTGGGTGAGAGGTAGCTCATACTCATCTGACTGGAGCTTTGCTTGCAGAGTACTAGGCAGGGGTAGAGAGTTGCTTTACAAATATTGTCCTTTTACCCTGGGAACATTAGGAAACAGTTTTTCTACCATTGACTTAAGATCCTTGTTCTTTTTCCAGTTAACCATGGGCCTGCCTCTTGCCTTTCCATAACTCTGTTGTCCCAGACAGGTGGAAATCCACATCAAAAGTGACAAACGAGACAAGGCTCAGGGGCTTTCAAGTCACTAGTAGTTTCGTTTAGTAAATGGCTATGCATAGTTTCAAAATGGTGCCCTAGTGACTACAAAGCCCCAGAGCCAGCATCATCCCCCAAACCATGTATATTAGGTAAGCACTGGCGCTGTGGGTTAATGAGCCAAACTGCAAAGCCGTTTGAACTGCAAGGCTGGCGGTTCAAGCTCTCCAGTCATTCATTCCTCAGAAACCCTGTCGCTATGGGTCGTATCTGACTCTACAGCACTTAACAACAACAACAACAATCCTCCTTTGTGTTGAGGATAATTCTTGAGAAGGGTTTCTGCATCTCTTACTGGAGATGAATTGATCCTGAATCAGTTTCTCTAGTGTTTTAATTATCTTTGAGACTAGTCTCAAACTCGTCCATTTGGACGCTGGTGTAATTTCAACAGGACCATAGTCTGGAGCCGACTTATGCACTCAACTCTCAAGGGTTTAGAAGCTAGTGGTAGCCTGCTAATATGGCTCTTTGGCTTCGTATCAAAGACTTTTTTCAGGAGGCTTTCAGAGAGTCCAATCCTTCTCCCAGTGAATAGATCATCCTTTACTGCTTGCTGTTGAACCTTTGTTGGAATCTTACCAATGGTCCTGAGTTTAGTATCTTATAAGAGAGTTACTTCTCTAGACAGCTCTATCATAAAAATCTCCCTGTTTATCTGAAGTTGACTCTGGAACTTCCACCCACTATACCTAGTTCTTTGTCTCTAGAATGACCCATTGTAAATTAAGTCCAGCCATGTTTCTACAGGACCAAGATTAAAGGATCAATATTATCATTTGGAGTCCTAGTGTGGATAAAGCACTCAACCTTCAAGGTTGGTTTGAACCACAAGATTGGCATTTCAAACTCTATACCGGGTTGCTACAGGTCAGAATCGACTTTGACAGCACTTAAAAACAGCATTATCATTTTAATAATAATAATTTTAAGAGTGTGTTGTGGGTCTTTAGGATGAGCACTGACTACCAACCATAAGGTGAGTGGTTTGAGCCAACCAGCTCCTCCACAGGAGAAAGATTTCTGCTCCCACCAAGATTTACAGCCTTAGAAACCCTTTACTGAGTTGCTATGAGTTGGCACTGACTTGAGGGTACTTCACAACAACAATCATCATTTTATCTCTAGGTCAAATTATCTTGTAGACTGCACAGCCTACCTAGCTCATTCTTTTGTTCTTCAAGTCTTTGGGTACTAACACTAATCAATCTAGGCTTATTCCTCTGGACACAGTCTTTTTGTGTACTTGTGAGAGTGCAGTGCCAGAATTGGACACCATGAGCCATCTGTGGTCTGGCCAAAGCAGGTAAGAGTGGAAAACGTCTTTAGCCCCAGATGTCTTACTTCCTTTACTTACGTTCCATCACTAATCATGAGGAAGCAAGTGTGTATTAGCATCCTGTTACCAGCCATCAAAAACTGCTTCTATTGGCAAGTGGAGAAGTTTCTTATTTTGTCGTAATATATGAAAATAGAGAAAGTCAGTAGAACAATAGATATTGCAACAAGAAAATAAAACTCTACAATTTTTATAGTGGGTTGGTTTTGGTTAGAAGTCCTGGTGGCACTGTGGTTAAGCACTCACCTGTTCATGGAAAGGTCAGCAGTTTGAACCCACCATTCCATGGGGAAAAGATGTGGCAGTCTGCTTCCGCTAAAATTGATAGCCTTGGAAATTCTTCAGGGAAGTTCTAATCTGTTTTGCAGGTTCACTATGAATTAGAATTTACTAGATGATTTTGGGATTTGGTTGTAGCTAAATAGGAAAAACTCTTAAGGTGCAGTCAATATCTCAGAGTGGGGAAAAGTATGAAAGTGGTCCCTCAATACCTCTTGAAAAGGAGTTCTGTCCCTAAAGTTATTACTCGGGACACAGGTCTCTCATTGACCCCAGGTCACTTCCTTGCCCTTTTATAGAGGAATCTGAGATATGTTGCCCCTGGAGTGCCAGTGTCACCAAGGTGAGTAGGAAAGGCTTCTCATACCACTCCTGTCCTGCTGGGCAAGTGATCTACTTTCAAAAATAGGAATACACGTGACACATAATTCTGGTGTTTTATACAAAGCTGTTACCAGGCAACAGCAAGAGTTGCTGAATATCTGCTAGGTTTCAGGCTACTGTAGGTATGGAAGGGCAGGAAATAAGCCATAGGGCCCATGTGAGCCCTGTCTTGTAGTAGTTCAAGGTCATGGAAATCTATAGCATCACTTAGGTGGAAGTTTGGAGCTATAGGCAACCCACAAAATGCTTCACTAAGGGAGCCAGCACTTGAGCTATTACAACTCAAATAGGACCTTGAAAGGGGATATTCTGTATTCATAGAAAAGCCCAAAGAAACCATGTAGTCCTGGACTTGCAAAGTGTTTGGAGATGTGTGTGTTAGAGTACAAGGCAGCATGGAGGGTACAATAGAAGATGCCAACTGAAAAAAGTAGGTCATCACCAGGCTCTCTAAGAGTATTTTGTGTCTAGGTTGAGAGTCAAGACCAAGGACATGATGCCCAGATGAATGTAAGCATCTCAGTACACCTTGTAGATGTAGACTTTATAGACCTGAAATCTAGAAGGCTAACTGAAATTTTTACTTTTGTCTTTTTCTTCTACTTTCCTGAAACACTCAATTTAGGTCAGGACAGGGACCCCAGAGTTTGACTATTGACATAAATATGTAATCTATCTCAGAGAATCTGCAAGTAAATGAGATTAGCTTAGGATAAGATTCGTATGTGGTGTGTCTCTGTGCATGTGAAATTTGCATTGGAACCAAGTTATGGTGAGCTTTTAATGTCAGATTAGTGTAGACTTGATTCTATCGCTCATGTGAAAAAAGGAGACACCAGATATTTGAGGCAGGAGAGTGACTTTGCTTGGCTACTGGTAGAACTGTGCTAAGTAAGCCATTTCAGCAGTCTATGAATGTGGGAAAGAAGGCTGATGGAACTTTTCCTCCCCCACCACAGCACAGTCTGTCTTTGGCTCATTGTCTGAGTGCACACATTTTAAGGGTAGCTGTCAAGTGCTGCAAGTCTGCAGACTAGACTCACTGTCTCAAAGGATGTGAAGGCCTCAGTCTGCCATTTGGGCATCAGCTGTATAATCCTGATATCTAGAGGGTTAACTGAGGATTTCACTTATTTGACACTGCTGCTACCTTGGAAAGAGAGGTGTGGGTTGTGAAAGAGTGGACTGAGAAAGAAAAGACTCTGGTTCCATCCCCAGCTCAGCTCTGAACTGTCAATGGGTCTTGTAGTGAGTCTCTGTGGGCTTTTTTTGGTTTCTTCTCTCAGTTTATTCTGATCCTCTGCATGTTGGAGTCAAACAATGTGCTTCTATTCTAGGACTGTGCCAAAGAAACCATGAGTTGAATAATGGGATCTTTAATGCTCAAGTACTGCAAGTGGGGGAGACCTTCATGCCAACGCCATAACAAAGTGTCATTTTTCATGTCTTCCAGGGGATTTCATGGTCATGACATTTATCTTCAACATCAGCAGGCAGTTTGGCTATGTTACCTTTCAAAACTATGTCCCTTCTTCTGTAACCACAATGCTCTCCTGGGTTTCCTTTTGGATCAAGAAAGACTCTGCAGCTGCTAGAACCTCCTTAGGTAAGGGAGTCAGGCAAACACAAACATGAAAACACACTGATGTAACTTTACCAAGGTAAGGAATTTCTTTCTCTTGGCCCCTTTAAGCAGTGAAATTCCTGGGTCAGGAGCTAAGTCCACCTCCATCCCTGTGCTTTTTTAGGGGTCACCTCTGTGCTTACCATGACCACATTGGGCACCTTTTCCCGTAAGAATTTTCCACCTGTCTCCTATGTCACAGCCTTGGACTTCTATCTCGCCATCTGCTTTGTCTTCTGCTTCTGTGCACTGACCGAGTTTGCTGTGCTCAATTTCCTGATGTACAACAAGATGAAAACTCAGGCTTCTCCGAATCTCCGCCATGTATGAGCGACCGGGGTATGGGCGTGGAATTCGTAGTCATATCAGTGAAGGAAAAGGGGCTTATGCACATGGGTGGCCAGCTCGCTTAGTGATGGGGAGATAGCCAGGGGGTTGGGAGTTGAATAAACTTCTTGATGTGGTGCTGTGAATTCCCAGCAACGAGAAATGATTTGCCAAGGACAGGTCCCTCAAGCAATCCTGAGATAAGCATCAGACAGCACTAAGGCTTCGGTACCCTTCTCTTGCCTTTTTCTCACTTCTTTCTTTGTGTGTTTCAGTCTCGTTTCCGTGCACGTGCACAGGCACGTGCACGTGCCCATGCCCGGAAGCTTCGGAAAGCTCCTGTCTGCACCATCATCAACATGGAGGGAAATGATGGAGCGGGGGAGTCCTCTCACCCGGGTAGCTCCCAGCGCTCAAAGCCTATCTGCTGCAAGTGGCTCAAGGGTTGTAAGAATTACTTCTGTGTAATCCCCAATTGCAAAGGTAGTACTTGGCAGCAGGGCCACGTCTGCATCCATATCTACCGCTTGGACGACTACTCACGTTATTTTTTCCCACTGGCCTTCTTTTTCTTCAATGTGTTCTATTGGCTTGTTTTCCTTTACTTCTAGGTGCCAGCTGGTACCTTGTGGGGCATCCTCTACTGCTCCCCAGGAGGTTCTAAGCCCCCTTTCAAGGGAGTTGGGGGGAAAGCAGCAGCAGCAGGAACAACCAGAATGTCTTTCCTTCTTCTTTCGCCAAAAACAAGTCTTCAGAGAATTTCTATTTGCTGGCTCTTTGTCTAACCTGTCCCATTCATTGAATTTCCATGACAACCCATTTCCAGTAAAATAGCCCACCTCTTTATTCTTAAAAGGGGAATTCATGATGCCCAGTCTTAAAAATCATAGCTTATCAGGAACTAGCTACCTAAAATGATGTCCATCCATATATTAGCTGGTTAACGCTCTCCCACCAGGGGTTTAACACCTTTTCCAGAATCCCCACCACCATCTTTGTGGTGCTTGAGGTCCAGCTCTGGCATCAACCTAAATGTGCACAGACTCTATTTTCCTGCCCTTCTCCTTCTCCTGCAGATAGACAGACACAGGCCGTATCTATTTAAAAAGGAGCCAGCAACTGAGCCTCTTTGGGACAGTATTCTTCCTTCTGCTGCTGCGACATCTTCCTCTCCCCAACCCACCTCCCTGCATTCATCTTTCATCTGCACTACCAATTCACTGCCCTGAATCCAGTGGGTATCTATTGTGTATGTGATGATCGTAATGACATCTGCTTTATGTTTCACCTTTTTCCTCCGCTTAACCCCTGTGACCCTTCCTGTAACTTCACATTCCCAGCCTTGGCCCAGGTGGTAGACTTTGGTGACTGAAAAATCAGCTATGGATTGGTGCTCACCTAAGGCACAGTGAAGGAGTTCTGCCACTTCCATAGCCCCTGGACCCAAGAGCTGGTTCACATTCATCCCTGGGGCACTCTCACAATTAAAAAACAATCAGTTGAATTCCTTTAAATGTAAATGGCACTTTACTTTTTGCAAAGCACTTTTGGCAAAATCCTTCCATTTTGAGACTCATCATAGTCCTGTGATACAGTAAGGGCAGGATTCTTATCCCTATTTTGCAGATGAGAACCCAAAGGCACAGATTTCTATGGGACTTTTGATCTTACTGGAAACTGCCCAGGATTCCACTGTCACTTTCTAGACCACATGCCAGAGCTCGGCAGCTTTGTTCACCATGATTTGATTCTCTTACCTCTGCTTGCATCCAAGAGGCAGGGCCCAGAGTGGCAGCCTCTCTTAAGTACTGGCCTGCACAAAATTCCCCCCCAAAGCTCTCCTGGCTCTGGTATCCCAGTGAGTTAAATTTGGACACACGCCCCATTGCTTGTATATGCTAAATGAAATCTGTGTCTGTACTTTAATGGGATGGGTGGTTAAGGGTGGGGTTCATCTGCTTCTCACCATCATCTAAAAGGGGGAAAATATTAAATATATTAATAAATATATCAGCAAAGTATGGAAGGTGTTGGTTTCTTGGGGATTCAAACTTGTCTTCAGTGCAAGTTTTAAATCTTAGTTCAATGATCCAAATGTTTGTGTAACTGTTTTTCCCTCCCCTATCCATGACTCCCAGACTTACCAAGCATGTAACATGCACCCTTATCTCATTAGCAGGAAACTGAAAGGAAAAGAGAATTAAGATTCCTTGACTCACTCCTATGACATTGCTTCCTTCTGTGTCCCTTTTACTCTGTTCAATACTCTGGCCCCTTCCTAGTCAGAACTAGAAGGTTCCTAGAGACCACCAGACTCAGTACAGCTCTGCCTCATCTCTTCTTCCATGCAAAGATACTGACGTACAAATAGAAGAGATTTGTCTACTGTCACACAACCAGTCCATAGTGGGAGTGGGATTAGATTTGGAGCCAGCCTGGAAATCTTAGTTGACCAATCTTTCAAATTAAAACTCTAAAAGTATGTTGGGAAATATTGGTCCTGGCTTCTTTTGATTCACCAAACTCAAAAGTGCCTCCGAAACAATCTTAATATCAAGGAAGAGACAAAATTGGACCCTTAACAGCCAGCCTTATCACCATGAAATCCTTTTAATAGTGCTCAAATACTTACCCACATGCGTCTACTTTATTTTTTCTGATGCAGCATTTTTTCCCCCTACATTAGAAAGATAGTAAAATTTCTATATAGAAATAGTACAAACTAGATTCCTTCATCACGGTACAACAAGATTTGGAAGAAATAACAAAAAAACATAACATTTTATTAAAAATTTAAAAGCTTACATAAACTATTATTTAAATGAAGAAATAGAAACCATAATTGGGTGCATTGCTGTTGATAAGTGTCGTTGAGTCAATTCCGACCCATAGCAACCCTGTGTAGGGTTTCCAAGGAGCAGCTGGTAAGCTTAAACCATCTTCCTTGCAGTTCACATGGCTTTGCAGTCTGACACATGAACCCACAGCACCGCACCAGTACTCCAATTGGGTGCATAATACTCCCCAAAATAAAATTGATGAAGAAAACACCACATTTTTTTTTTAAGCCCATGAGTTATAAAACCATCATTATTTTTAAAGAAAAAATCGTAACTTAAGCCTTTCAGTTACTAAACATAGTGGAAGAAACATGAGTAAAGCTTTGAAATCTAGAAATTTGAGAAAGGAAACAAAAGCACATTACACCTAATAAAAGTTATGGGGAATGAAGAATTTAAAAAATAAAATATATAAGAAGAATCAACCATTTGAAAACCAATAAGTGAATAAATTTGGATCCCTACCTCTCCCTTTACATCAACATTATAGCTGAATCAAAGAAATACTTCTAAGCATGATCTAAAGCACTCAAAATTGTAAAGGAAAAGATTGAAAAACTTGTCCATGCTAAGAAATAGTTACAAAAGCAAAAGCAAATAAAAACAAAAATGTATAGCCAAACATACTGTCAACACAGGTCAGTATATGTAGGAAGCTCTCTGAGACAGAGTTTGAGGATTTGGATGGATCAAGGTTGGGTAAAGGAGAAATTGGGCTGTAGTGTAGTCACAACCAGGGTCACAGATTAATCCATGGACATTTCTGGAATTGGGATGGTCCTTCAGAGATGTCATGAATTAAGCAAGGGGGCAGGATCTTTTTAATTCCTTCACTGGCCAGTCATTTGATGTGAACATGGCCATGGAAGGAACATGAACTTTGTAAAGAAGCAACAGTCAACGTCTGGAGAAAGATTCAGTGAAGAACTGTAAGCCTCCAACTATCACAGGAGCTGGAGAAACGAGCTTCTAAGCATCAGGGATAGGGGTTGGGGAAGAATTTGGCACTACATGACAGCATCTGCTGTAGTTCATCATTCACTTTGCTCAAACCCACTTGTCTCAAAGAATAAATTCTGAAGTCTTTCCTCCAAGATTATCTTGGGCTTCTTTTCCTAAGGAAAGCTTAGGTCAGTGGAACAAACTAGAATATTTGCCACTGCAACTGGTTTTGAGGCCTTAACCAATACTCATTGTACCCATCCTATATTACCCATTTTATATTCCCATACCTTTGGCTAGCAGCTCTGCTGATCTACATAGCTTACTTAAAGCAGTGACTAAAACCTTCATCCTTGAAGGGTCTGAATCTTTTGACACCATGCCCTTCTCAAGCCCCAAATGATGAAGTAGTTTGGAGTTTCCAAGGGATACCTAAATGGTTCCCAGCTGGATGCCAAACTGACGCTTGCCTACACCCATTGTTTATCAGTGGCCTTATACCTTCTTGATGATTAGGATCAATTACCCCTGCCAGGATGTTGAGTCATTTTCTTTTGGCGGGTGCCATCAGTAACCAAGAAAAAGTAATGGATCAAATTTAAGGGAATTTTTTTGATGTTGCCTGCTGAAGACATGTAACCACCTGGGAGCCTAAAACGCTAAAATCTGGATGCTCCCAGCCCATTATTGAGTACAACAGAAGTACTAGATATGGACACTTCTGCCAAATTCAGGACTCTTCCAACAAACAGTCTATTCTGGAGTGTACTGTAGGCTTGGCTGAGACTTTATCAGACCTGCTCTGCAGTCTCAGATGTTTATTTCTTTTACGCTCCTAATCTTCAGAAAAACAAACAAACAAACAAACACCCAAAAAGATGGACTGGTAGAGCGGCAGCAACAATGGACTCAAATGTAACAAAAAACGTGATGATGGTGCAGGACTGGCCAGTGTTTCATTCTGTTGGGAATAGGGTCACTACGAGTCAGAAGTGACTCAACAGTACCTAACAATAACAGCATTTCTTACTTCTCTCTGTCATTTCACAAGACTTTCAAGAGGTCCCTATCAAGACCTCATTGTGGTCTGAAAGTTCTTCTAGACTACTCCTTTTTTCCTTCATCTTTAATAGTGTCAAGAAACATTTTGTTCTTCTAGTTTCAACTTGGCATCTGCTTCCCAGATGACTTAACAGATCCAGTTGATATCAGAAACAATACAAGAAAACACATGGTAAATGGGATTCTGAAACTGTATAATTCACTACCTGGCTGACTAGGAGCAATCAACCCTCATTGGTTTTGGGGGTACATATAGTACCTGGCATGTGGTCACCCAATTCTTAAAGGTGGTTACCTGGGAAAGCATCCCACTGGAGAGAAACCCCTTGCCAATTCAGGTATTTGAAGGCTATGGGAGGAACATTGTGGAAGGATAGTGTAGTATATCAGTTATTACTAAATTTTCTTGATGTCTTATAGAGAGATGAGAAACTGAGGACAGCTAACAAGAACAAAAGGACTTTATCTTCTGCAGTGAGAGAGCAGACACATTTGAGAAGCAAATGCAGAACTTAAGAGTTAACCTTGCAAATCTCCAGATAAGATTAATTTGTCTAGTCAGGGCAAAGGAACTCTGGTTGCGTAGTGGTTATGAGTCGGGCTGCTAACCTTAAGGTCAGCAGTTCGAAACTACTAGCGTTTCTGTGGGAGAAAGATGAGGCTTTCTACTCTTGTAAAGATTTACAGCCTTGGAAACGCTATAAGTCACTATGGCACACCACCACCACAGTCAGGGCATGTCTATTAGGCTAAAGTGAAGGTCGTGA